ATTGCTAAGAGCATGGTTATGAAGTCAGGCATGGTCCTAGCACTAACTCTGTCACTTATAAGCCATGTGACCTTGGGAAGGATATTTCAGTTCAGCTTCAGATTCATCCATAAAATAGGCTAATACTAATAATACCTATTTTAGTATTAAGATGATGCATGTGGGATGGAGTTGTGGCTCAGTGGTAGAGTGTTCACCTAGCATGTGTGAGGCACTGGGTCTGATCCTCAGCAACACATAAAAAATAAAATAAATGTTATTGTGTCCACCCACAACTAAAAAATAAATATTTTTTTAAAAAATGATGATGCGGGGCTGGGGATGTGGCTTAAGTGGTAGTGCGCTCGCCTGGCATGTGTGCTGCCCAGGTTCGATCCCCAGCACCACATACAAACAAAGATGTTGTGTCTGCCAAAAACTAAAAAATAAATATTAAAAAATTCATTCTCTCTCTCTCTTTAAAAAAAAATGATGATGCATGTGCCTAGTCATGTTAGTGCTCAATAAATGTTATTATTATTAACAAATAATAAATTATGTTAAGAACAATTGTTCAAAAACTCACATAATTATCCAAAAACTTGGAAATAGGCAAAAGGATTTCTGGATGTCCTTTTGCTATAGAGCTTTCTAGAGCAATGTAGTGGCAGGTCTGAACAAGAACTAACGTATCCTCTAGGACTGTGAATGTTTGTGGGACTCAACATTTACTATGTATTTGTTCAGATATTTTACAACTTTGATTTCCTGACAAGTGATAATGATGCAAATAATTCTTGTCTGTTGCCAGTAGAAGTTATTTATGTTTTACAGAAAAGGTAATCCCAAATGTTACTATTTCTTTTTAAACTCTGTGTAACATTAGCCAACTTTGTATCTCACACAGTAATCTTATTCTAATATTTTAAAAAAATTCATTCTTTTTTTTTTAATATTTATTTTTCAGTTTTCGGCGGACACAACATCTTTGTTTATATGTGGTGCTGAGGATCGAACCCAGGCCGCACGCATGCCAGGCGAGCGCGCTACCGCTTGAGCCACATCCCCAGTCCCCCCAAAAAATTCATTCTTGATGAGCTATATAAACCCCCTACTTCTCAGCATTGCTTAAACTGGTTTGACCACTTTATGATTATCTCTTTCACTGTGTGCAAAAACAGTTTTTCTTACCCGTGGTTGTTCTGTTTTATATCATGTATGTTTTGAATTTTTTGAAAATTATACCTTGATAGATAGAAGTCAATTCTAGGCACCATGTAGGAGGAGCAGGTTATGCAGACCTGAGGACCAGGCAGGATTTCCCAGAGAGAGTAGCATCTGAGCAGAGATGTGCATAAGATGTTCTCAGGTGACCTCAATAGATTTAAACTCAGGCTCATAGATGTAGTATTTGGGTCAAATTCATCTCTGGAAAATAAAGCTGATGTTAGCAACTGACTTGGAAGAAATTCAGCCCTGCTTAGCCAAAAATCTGGATTGCTTTAAACTACCTCACTGATGGTTTTACAGTTTTTTAAAATGGCAGTAAATGGCTTACTTTAGTACCACAGGAACATGCAAACTGGGATATTCATCATTCCTAGCAAAAGAGGCAAGAAACTCACTTCAGAGTCTAGATTTAGATAGTTCAGGGAAATTTCCTCAGGGACCGTTGTCAGAAAATAACCCTTTTTGCCTACCCTTAAGTCAATCTGTGTTCTTTTATAGATTATCTGTATCATAGTAGGTTCTCAGTGCTGTATACCATTGGCCTTCCATATCCACAAGTTTTGCACGAAAAATATTCAAAAGAAAAAAATGTGTGCTGAATATATACAGATTTTTTTCTTGTCATTCTTTAAAATAGTACTATCCATAGTTACATAGCATTTATAATGTATTAGGTATCACAAGCAACCTAGAGATGATTTAGAGTACAGATGAGAAATATGTAAATCATACGCAAATTATATGCATATTGATTGATAAGAAGATGTTATAGGCAGACTTTCAAATATTGCTTGACATGCAGAAATCACTAATCACCTGGCAGGGAAATCATTAATAGGAGGAAACTTAACTCTGAACAACTTGCATGACAACTTCCTTTTTCATTTACCAGGAAATACACAAATAAGTCAGAGAGCTAATGGTGAAAATTAAAAATGAAATGTATTCCTTTATCTCTGTTTAAATTGCAGGGAGATCACTCTATCCTTTAAAGAATACCAAAAGCTGTATGGGAGCTGACTGCAGAGTGCCCAGGCAAGCTAAGAGAGATTAAGGATCTGTTAGGATTGCCCAGAACCTTGCAAAAAGACTGATTGAGAGTTTCAGATGATTCTAATTATTTACAAAGACACCAAAGCAATCTAAGCATTTCCTTTAGGGAATAGCATGGGGGTTAAGAGAAATTAGCATTAATTTAATGAAAATAGGGAAGAGGGAAGATTTAGTCAAATAAGCCTAGATGTGCTTTGCATCTCTACCACCTAATAGCTGTGTCAGTTTTGGGTAACCTTGCAAAGTCTGAGTTATGCCCTCTACAAGATGGGAGTAATAATGCCTAAGTAATTGGAAATTCTGTGAAAATAACATGAAATATATGTACATATGAATATGAGCCAGAGATTGACTGGCCACTCATCATGCCCATTTCCCTTTCCTCTTTGGCACCCGGCTTTCTTGAGGGTGAGATTTTGATGTGCTACTGGGTTCTGGACAAGGGAATAGCAAGGAAGTGACAGGTGCCTCTTTCTATCTGGGTCCTTAGATACCACTCATCCCAGTCATGGATTGAGTGCAAAGAACACAGGGTCCTAGAAGAGAGAAGTCACAAATGGAGGGAAACTGTGTTTTTGGATGCTTTTTGGTCAGGAATACCCATTTGGTCTTTATGAGAGTGAGAATTAAACTGTGACTTAAGTTTGGGGCAGTGGCCTGTATCATTGTCAAATATATATATACATACATGGGCATATAGTTGCATATACACATACTTATCATGTATAGTATATAGCATATATAAAATAAATAAAACATATTAAAACAAAACTAGTTTTTTTTAAGCAATTACTATGCACTAGGCACTGTTCTAGGCACTAGGGATATAACAGTCAAGGACTTTGGCCCCAGGGAATTTACACTTTTGGCAGGGAGACAGATCATTCACATTAAACCTATATCCTTAATTTTTAAAAAATATTTTAAAGTTGTTGATGGATCTTTATTTTATTTATTTGTATGTGGTGCTGAGAATTGAACCCAGTGCCTCACGCATGCCAGGTAAGCGTACTACCACTGAGCCACAACGCTGCATTCCCCCCCCCCCGTGCTGAGGACTCCCTGTTTGGGCTCTGCTAAGTGAAGGGGAGGTGAGAGTGTGCTAGGAGAAGGCTCAGAGGCTGCAGAGGAAGGGACCTCTTCCACCGGTGGGACCTCTTCCTCTAGTCCTTTTCCTTTGCCATTCCCACATCCAGCCTCCTGGGGACAGTGACGAAGAGGACCAATGGGAAGTGGCAATCTGAGAATGGGCTGCTTGATTTGTGTGCTTCCCAGAGAGTACAGTTACTGTCCAGGACACAGACATGAGCAGAGCTATCTGAGAAGACTTTCTGGTCCACAGTCTGAGCTTCCAACAGGCTCATGTTGGCCATTGAGAGCCTGAGATGTGGCTATGGCAGCACCCACATCCAACATCCAGTTTTATTTCACTTTAGTTCCAATTTAAATGACCATAGTGTGATCAGAGACACTGACAAATGATTTCAATAAAGTATGATCTGAAATTCACTGGTGGCGGGGTGGGCAGCGGCGATAGCTTAGTGGTAGAGCGCTTGCCTAGCATGTGTTCAATCCTCAGCACCATGTAAAAATAAATAAAATAAAAGCATTGTGTCCATTGACAACTAAAATAAATAAATAAACAAATGAACCCAGGATGCCAAGAGAACTTAGAAGAGCTACAGTTAGGCTAACTGAAGAAATATATGGAGATTTCCTGGAAAACTTCCAAGTTTCCAAATCCAGAGATGAATTCTCAGTTCGTGATTTACATGATCCTTGAACTGTTTGGCGGTCTTCATTGTCCAGCATGCTTCGCCTTTCGCTTGTTTCCGTACACCACAGTCTGTTGGTTCATTCCCTACTTCTCAGACCTTCCTCTCAACCATGCCCTGATCATCCCTTTAGATGACAATCAGGCCTTCAGTGTTTCTGAAAAGTAAGATTCTTTTGCCTCTCTTTTGTTCTTAACCTGCCAACATCTTCTCCCCAGATACTCCACCCCGCACCCCATGACTGCCATGTCTGTTCACGGGCTGGACTTCTCCAAATCTAATCCTTTCTCCCTTTGCATGGTGAGGAAGCCACAAGTCACAAAACTTAACTTTTGATCACCTCTTGTGCAAATCTACCTCCATAGTCTGACTTCTCTCTTCAGATCTCCTTCGTAGTTGTCACCTATTTTCTTGGGGCTACAGGTGATTGATACCACTGCTTCCTTTACACATCCTGTTACATCACCTGAAGAACCTGTGTGCTATGGACTGCATCACTCTTCTTTACGGTTGGCTGTCCAGTACCTAATGTGGCATCGGGTGCAATGTTTGGTTCTTCATAAATATTTTGTAAATGAAGGAATGAAGGAGCTGGCCCAAAGCTGAGCCTTGGAGAATGAGTTAGTTAAGGGGGGAAAAAAGAGTCAGAATGTTCTAGATAAAGGTAAAGCAAAGGCATAGAGGTAAGAAATAGCATATGTACCTGGGGGGAAAGCTAGACTTAAAGAGAAACATCAATGGCTACATTTCACATTATTCAGTTCATTTCTCTTTGAGTAAAACTTGCCAATCCTCCACCACCACCACCACCACCATCATCATCATCATTTGGCCATCCTATGGTAAATGAGAGGAAAAAAGAGGAGACTGGTCTGATATTCAGGTCCTAAAGCAATGGTTTTGTGCATAGTGGCAGACCTCCACTATTTCCACCTACCACATTACTGTTCCCATGTTTTCTAGGGTTTCCCAAGGACAGGAAAGAGATTCATGGAGATCAGTGGCCCTGCTTCCGTACCACTTCCCTGGATCATGGACCTCACATGTTGCTCTCTTCCTCCTCCATTGTCCAGTGACAACGAGACTTCAAGAAATACTAAGCTAGGGCTGGGGATACAGCTCAGTTGGTAGAGTGCTTGCTTCGCTTGCACAAGGCCCTGGGTTCCATCCCCAGCACCACAATAACAAAACTAAACAAAAAATGAAGTCATCCTCCCCAAAATGGAGCACAGCAATGTTAGAAAATATCATCTTGTTATGTCCCTATTTAACAACTATTTCAGCGGCTCCCCATTACCCACTAATAAAACCCCGGCTTCCAACACGGATTCCAAAGCCTTTACTGATTGGAGAGTAACCAATTCTTTTTGCCTTATCACTCCAAAACCTTTCTCTAGTTACTAGGATTATGTAACAAACTATCTTCAAAACTTTGTGGCATGAAACATTTCATTATGTTCAGAGATTGTCATGTGCCAGGAATTTGAACAGGACACAGCAGGGAAGACTTACCTCTGTCCCACAATGTCTGGGACCTCAGCTAGAGGACTTAGAGGCAGAGGGTAAGAACTGATGAAAAGTGCCTGCACTCTTGGGTCTGCTTTTTGATGCTGGGGGAACTCTAATAGCTGGGGCTCCTGTAGCATCTCTCTAGGTGGCTTCTCTGTGTGGTCTTTCCTACCTGAGGGCTTCAGGATAACGGGAATTATCCTGTGTGGGTCCTCAAGGCACATGTCCTGAGAAAGAAAGCCAGGTGGAAATGGCATCACCTTTTCTAATCCGGTGGAGTCATTTCTACCATGTTCTATCAGTTGGAAGCCTGTCTTTAGCACCAGCCCATAGAAAGGAGGAGTGTCAAAACTACGGCAAAATCCCACCATATCTGTTACTGTACCTTAGGGATGCAAAAACCTCTCTTTGGTCTCTAAATCTGTGGCCCTGCTTTGACTTCATCGCTGCCCTTTTCTGGCTGTGTCTTTTGCCCCCTACACGTTTGCCTTCCAAATTTCTACCCATCATTTAAGATTCAGCTCAGACACCGCCTGCATCATGACCTTCCACAAGCTCCACATTTGGTAGTAATTACGCCCTTCTCGGTGCTTTCCATGGGCCTTGGTTTCAATTTTCCTTAGGTGACCTGAATACATATTGGCTGGGTGGATAAACAGAACTATAAAATCTCAGGTGTGAAAGTGACCACCGTAGGTGTAGCTTAGGACATCCTTTGTGAGGGATCTGTTTCCATTTGGGTCTGCTCCTCCTCGAAAGGTCTAATTTCTGAAAGGTGGAGCCAAGTCTGATCTGCCTTTGTCACCATCCCCCCGCCCCACCACCACCACCGCCACCTGCACCTCCTTCCATCTTTAATTCTTCTGGAAGTGGTTTGGCCACAGAAGACTTTCAAAGAACGTCAGTTAAAGGAACAAGCCTGTGTCCCCCAACACTCACACACACACACACACTCACACACACACACACTTCTATGCACCTTCTGCTACTTTTGCCTCTATTTACCAGGTAGTCTTTGGTTTATGGTAGGTTAAAATAGTTGGAAGAGATAAACTCCAAATGCTAAATGATCATGAAATATTCTTAAAACACCAGATGCCATTGGGTCAAATTAATGGCCTTGATCATGGTAACCTTCTGCTATTGTTTGAATGTTGAAAGCCCACAAATGTCCCTGTGTTCAAGGTTTGTTCCCCAGGGTGGTACTATTGGGAGGTGGTGGAACCCTTCGGAAGTAGGGCCTAGAGGGAAGACCTTAGGTCACTGCGCGTGTGCCTCTCTCTTTCTTGCTTCTTGACTCATCATACAAGCAGTTTGCTTTCATTGCTTGGTCAGAAGCCCAACAAGTAGCTAAGATAAACCTTTTCTCTTTATCAGTAATTGCCTCAGGTATTTCATTATAATAGCAGGAAGGTGACCAATACCTTCTAATCAACAACCACCTCTCTGGAGAAGATTAATGTGATAGACCTGTGAAGGGTCACAGGGTGCCTTACCCTTCAGCTATCCTTTATTGCTCCTCTACTCACTGATTGTGTCTTCCAAAAAAAGCAGAAATTTCTAGGTCACAGCAAACGGATTATCCGTAAACAGGACCACTCGGTTTACTACGGTCAATATCAGCACTAAACAAAGCAACTTACTGTTGATCAATTTCTGATTTATACAAAAAGCGATTTCCAATAATTTTCAGGGATTCTTTGCAAGAATACCTGGTTGCACTAGGGAATTCAAAACCCTTTAGGTGTCTTATAAACTGCTGCTTAGGAGCTAGGCATGTGTGCATGTAAGAATATATACCAACAAATTCCATCGATGTGTAAACTATAATGCGCCAACAACAAAAAAATAATGTGGAATAAAACAAGAATCCTTTAAAAAAAAATAGAGCTGGGCATGGTGGTGCATGCCTGTAATTATAGCTACTCAGGAGGCTGAGGCAGGAGGATCACAAGTTTGAGGCTAGCCTCAGCAACTTAGTAAGACTCTGTCTCAAAATAAAAAATTAAAAGGATAGGATAGGGGAAGTAACTCAGTGGTAAAGTTCCTCTGATACAAAATACCCCCACCCCTCCAAAAAAGACAAAAAAACAAAGACAATAACAAAAAAATCTACCTTTTGGAACCCCAAACAGTCACAATGGAAAAAATAAATAACAAAACACCCTAGAATGCTAGTAATAAAAACAAAACAAAAAATAAATTGAATTTTTTGAAAGAATTTATCTAACATGCTAATATTGGAGGGGAAAGCTAATTTAAGGGAAGGAAAATGAGAAAGAACTTGGGGGATTGGAGGTGTTTTACTGAAGACTCACTCCTTGACTCTGGTCACGACTTTGAAGGTTGACTTAATGTGGCTCATTCCTGTATCTGACTCTTAGTCCCGGCTCATGCTTTCTTTCTCAAGTATCTAAAAGTTGGACACCAAAAGTCCCACTTTACAAGAGCGTGAAAATAAAAATGAGGTCACATTTCCTTTTTGTACTCAAATTATGATGTCATGGGTGCCTACTGCATGTGGTGCTGGGAACGAGTGTTCTCCAGAGCTGGCCCGTCCCCTGTCATGGCTGAACACTCACACGTGCCCCAGAGCTTACAAACACAGCCTGGCACGGGCTCTGCCTGTCCTCTTCTGCTCAGATGCCCACACGTGCAGGTCTGTTGCTCACAGATGCTTGGACACCTCTGCCACTGTGAGCCACAGGACAGCCAAGCCCCATGCCAGGCAATCTCTAGATGCTTCTAAACAATGCTCTAGGCTCAGTGCAGGTGGAAGCCGACCCTGGGCATAATCTCATCTTTTTAAATGTATTTATTTTATTTGTTCATTTTAGCTATACATGAGTGTAGACTATATTTTGACATATCATACAAAAACGGAGTAAACTTCCCATTCTTGTGGTTGTACGTGATGTGGAGTTACATTGGTCATGTGTGTTCATATATGAACGTAGGAAAGTGATGTCCAGTTCACTCTATTTTCCCATTCCCATCCCCCCTTCCTTCTCCTCATTCTCCTCTGTGTCCAATCACATGAGCCTCCACTCTCTGCCCACCCCCAAACCCCCACCTCCCACCTATTGTGAGTCAGCAGCATATCAGAGAGAACATTTGGCCTTTGTTTTGGGGACTAGCTTTTTCACTTAGCATGATAGTTTCCAAATCCATCTATTTACTGGCAAATGCCATAATTTCATTCTTCTTTATGGCTGAGTAATACTCCATTGTGTATCTATACCACATTTTCTTTATCCACTCATCTGTTGAAGGGTACCTAGGCTGGTTCCGTGGCTTAGCTATTGTGAATTGAGCTGCTATGAATATTGATGTGACCATGTCACTATAGGCATAATTTGCTCTTTCCTGGAGCCTCATGAGGTTCTCCTCTCTTGCGTCCAATGTGGCTTGGTCCTCCTAGAGACAGCTCTATCTATCAACTTCTGGCCCAAGAACTTTGGCATTCATCAGATCACTAATCATATATGACTTTAAAAATATATTTTAGGAGGCTGAGGATATAACTCAGTGCTTGCATAACCATGTGCCAGGCCCTAGGTTAGATCTCCAGCTCTGTAAAATCAATCAATCAATAATCAATAAAAATCAATCAATCAATCAATAAAAAAAGACACTTGTTTAATTCAAGGAACTGAAGAGAGAAGATGGAAGCAAGTCTTTCCTGACAACATGATGAGAATCGGAGAAGGAGAGGAGGGAGAGGTTGATCAGGAGTGGTGTCCATGGGCCCATCTTCTCCTGGTCAAGGAGTCAGGCAGAGTCAAGCTGCCATTAATTCATTCAGAAAAAAATTTCTGAGCGCCTCCTTCTGTTTGTATCCAGAGAACCCTGCGGTGAGCAGAATGGGCCAGGTCCATTTCCGCAAGGAGCTGACGTTCTGGTAAGGAGAGGCAGGCGGCATAGAAGACAGATCCACAGGACAATCTCACCTGTGACAAGTGCTGTGACGGAAATCCAAGCAGGGCAAGGAGCAGCCAGCAGGACCTCGGCCGGGCAAGACCTTGCTGCTAAACTTACGTGGGAACAGAAATTGAAACAAAGTGAGGGCGTAGGCCTGGAGATGTCTGGGAAAAGAACGTTCTAGATGGCAGGGATAGCAAGTGCCTGAGTGTTCGCACAGGGACTGCAGGCAGCGTGGCGGGAGCCGAGGAAGGGGAAGCTGCTGGGAGAGAGGCTGGTGTGCACCCGGGGCCAGGTCCCATGCTGTACTGACCCTGCAACTGGAGGCTTTGTGTCAGCGGTCTCAAAGGCCTCACCCTGGCTGTCGTGAGGATAGGAGCATAGTGGGGCATGAAGGAGGCAGGGAGGCCAGTGGGGAGGCCATGGCAGTGCAGGCTGGAGGGACAGGGTTGTGCTGGCAGCCTGTCCCTGGGGATAGAGCGTGCTTAGGGCCATCAGCCGTGTGTTGCTCCCTGGTCCCGTCCTGGAGGGTCCTTTGAGGGCAGCTTTCCTTTCTGCCTCCCGTGTTGGATGGTGTGAAGGAGATGAGTAGGATGGACAGAACTGAATGGCGCATAAGGACATGGTGTCATCGTCAACGGCCCTCGGGAGCAGCT